GTGGGAGAGGGAGAAGCAGGCTTCCCGCTGAGCAGGGAGCCAGATGTGGGGCTCGATCCCAGGACCCTGGGATCATGACCTGAGCCAAAGGCAGACACTTAATGACTGAGCCACCCAGGTGCCCCTGATTCATTAAGTTCTTACCCTTATTGTATCTTGTTTGTTGCATAACTTTGTATTGTACTTTGTGTGATGTGTATGAAGCCAAATTAAATGCACAGTGAAATGTCATTGAGTTTAGAATCCTGAACCTGCTTTCAATTGTATTAACCTTGCTTTATGAATGAATAAAGCTGACATTGCAGAAAGACACAACTCTTGTACACACCTTTATAACATACTCGAGACACCACCACCTGACTAGTGTTCTTCAGGTTTCTAAAGTTACTCTTGTTTTCCCTCCCTTTGCATATTATACACTTTGGAAGAAAGTTATTACACACAGTCTACACCTAAGAAAGAGAAGTTATGCTCCCCCTCCTTAAGGGCCAGATACCGAAATTATTTCAAATTTGTTTACATAGATTTGTCTCTTCTCCATTTATTAATATATTTGATCATATATACTGTATATGTATTATTATGAACTCATGTTTATTTTATACTTTAGGTTATAATCCAACACTACCTCAATTCCTTGCTCAAATTTTTCCAATTTTGGTCATTGGGAGCTCTTTGAGTTGGCTCTTGTTATCCTTTGACATATTTCCATCAATGTGGGGTTGTTTTTATTTTTATTTGGGGGATTTTTTTTATCACTTTTACTTTTGGGGATATTATATCTTGTTATCTATACATATTTATGTATCTTTAAAAGATAATAACTTTTAAAAGCAGCACCAAAACTTAACAATTAACAATTTAACATTTTCTTAACAACTTCTGAATATCATGAAATTAGTGTTTAAAATATCCGGAGTCTCAAATGATTTTTAATAATTGGTATGTTCAAATCAGGCTCCAAACAAGATCCTATATTTGTATTCAGTGATGTATTTTAAAAAGATATTTCCTTTTAATCCTTGTAATTTATAAATTGAAGTAATGGCAGTTTTTCTTAAGTTCAACTGTGAGCATATCCCCTCTGGCAAGTATACTTCACAGGTGGTATTATGTTCCTCTGTAGCATCACATCAGAAGACACTTAATATCTAGTTGTTTCTCTTTGGAGGATACTAAAATTGATCTAGCAGGTTCAAGTGATGTCAGCCCCATCTACCCATTATAAAGTTTTCCACCGGCTTTTTGTCTAATTCTAGACTCACTGATGATTGTTACCTAGATCCATTATTTCATTAGGGTTTGCAAACTGCTGATAGTCTGTTTTCTGCATTTATTATCTGGAACTCTATAAAGAACTTTCCCACATTGACTATTTGATTGAGATTCAGTTTGTAACAGGAAAGTTAGGATGCTTGATTCTTTTATCAGTTTTCAGACTGTGATGATTCTTTGGCATCTTCCAAAGGTGACCAGTGATGTTTTAAAAAAATCAACACACATTAATTTTTGACATAGTAGAAGAGTCTCAAATGCTGTTATTATTTTTAATGTTAAATTGTCCTTTGACCAGTGGGCACACTTTTGAATTGTCTCCTGAGTCTTTGACACAACTCCTATTATTTTTCTTCTTTGCTTTCTGATACACATATCTTAGACTTTCTTTCTTGCACCTTTCCTGCTCCAGACTTAGAATCAGTCCCTGATTTCCAAGGGGAGTCCAAGTGACTTTTTGTGGGAAATTATATTTAGAAATGATGGGGGATAGGGGTGTGTATTGTGCTGATTGTTATTCCAGGCCTTTTTAGTGGACACTTTTAATGAAAAAAAAAATACCATGAGTTCATACTGATATTTCTAAATTCAAATTTAGAATTACAGAATTTTTACTTAATTTCTTTGATTTTGTATTTGTATTTCCTTTCTCTAACAATGAAAATCGTGGTATCCAGAAACAATTATTAAATGCTTTAAACTAATATATATATTTCAGAAGTAACACTGTGAAGGTTATTACTAACAATATGAGCTGTGAAAAAGGCTTACATTTTTTCCCCCTTGGAAAAATATATCTCACTAGGAATGTTTGGTCGATTGACTGTTTTTTTTGTTTGTTTGTTTGTTTGTTTTTTTTAAAGATTTTATTTATTTATCTGACAGATAGACAGCGAGAGAGGAAACACAAGCAGGAGGAGTGGGAGAGGGAGAAGCAGGCTTCCCGCCGAGCAGGGAGCCCGATGCGGGGCTCGATCCCATGACCCTGGGATCATGACCCGAGCCGAAGGCAGACGCTTAACGACTGAGCCACCCAGGCGCCCCATGGTCGATTGACTGTTTTAAAGTCAATTTATTACTTCACTGTCAAAAACACTTTAACTGCAAAGTATGTCTCACTGCAGTATTTTCATTTAAGGAGGGAGGTGCCGTTTCCTGTTGAAAAGGAAAGAGGAATAAAGTGACATAACGTTGATTTTTTAAAGTGATTCCCCCCCCTAGCAGTTAGCGTCAAAGAAGCTTAACAGAACAGGAACAAGCTTTGCTTTACAAACTCTCACGTTGACAACTTGACAGAATTAACTACTTTCACTCATGAGTTGGATGAGTAGGAAGTCCTAAACCAAAGAACATCACTGGACAGCGTAGATTTCAATTCGCAGATTGAAACTTCCCCTTATCTGGACCCGATTAGGCAACTGTATTCAACACACTTTTTCCTCCAATACACTTTTTGTTGCTAATTATTGAGTAGCTCCTGCATGTCAATCCCCACAATGCGAACCGGGACACCCAGCCGGGAGAGGACACTTCCCGCGCTCAAGGCGCTCACAGCCTGGTGCCAGGGACGAACGCACGAACAGTTTATTATTAAACAATGGCAGTGTGTGCCAGGTTGAAGATACGAACGCGGTGTTATG